TAGACATCGGACGGACAATAAAGTGATCCTATAAGGGTTTCGAAAGATTTGTTGCTTGTTTGACGACTAGGTACTGATTTTAAAAATACTCTCACTTATGAAAAGGTCTCATCAAAGGTCAAGGAATCATAGGTGGGTGGCTATAATTTACGAGGGCAAAGTGGTGGGATAACAGCTAGTTTATTAATAAAGGCAGGGGAAATACAAAATAGTTTAATCGCGTATGATATTGTAGGTATGGTTACAATAAGATTTGTCCTAAGATGTCATGATTTTTTTACTCTTCTCAGGATTGCGATCGGATTTTGAAAATCCTGGGATTCTTAGATTTCATTGAAATATATTACATATTTAAGATCTCTTTAATAAAAAATTATGTAGACTAGAATATATCTTCCTAGCTTTGCAATGTGCAACGAGCAAACGAGATCCCCGGAGATCCGCAGTGAATAAAAACGATAACATTATGACCTTTTTAAAATTTATAATCACATTTGAGAGAAAATTCTCAAAGTGCAACAATATCTCAGTATCTTCCAATGGAAATCAGGCCTTTTGCTTTGTTCATCTGGTAGCCCTACCTGTGGATGCTTGGTTTTTAAAATAGGTCTAATAACGCTAACACACAATTAAGTCTTTCCTCTTTATATTCAAGACAAGCTGTTTTCTCACGGATGAATCTTGCTCTACACGAAGGTGATGACTAAACAATGGCTGGAACTAGACTATATAACCGAATCTGGATAAAAACGAGTTACCGTAAAAAATGTACTGGTTTAGCGATTAATACATCATATAACATGTAGGCGGGCAAGTAAAAAATCAAAGATCAACAAAATATATTAAATTTAATCGCAACTAGCTTTCCGTAAAGCAATTTTTGAGATTTTGCCAAATCATCTAATCATAGAATGTGTTATAAAATCTGATGATTCTTATTTCTTATACTATGTATTGTAATGAGTATTTTGGTACTTAAAGTCTTTCTATGCTATATTATAAAGAGGAAAGATTACATTTTTAGTTAATTTGTTTTATATTCATGAACTCAAACATTCGTAGATAAATTTTAAAAGTTCTATCTTTACTATAATGTAACGGTATCAGCGTGGTATCAGCGAATGATAAATATTAAAAAGGATGCGTGAAATCGTGAGGTCAAGGGTGCGCTCATCTAACTCTTTAGCTATATGATAGAACATCTTAGTGCTGTTATAACGATATAAAAAATCACCAAATTACCTTTGTAATGCACTATTTTTTTTATTTCTTTTCTTAAAACTCTTAGTGGGGAAAGTTATGCATATGTAAGTCACTTTGCAGTCAGACTATATGCAACGGTTTTAAAATAATCGCAATAATTTGAGAGTAATTCATTAACAATAGTTTTTACGGCGCATTCGCCATTCTCTGTCCCTATCTAATCATTACCGAGAGCAATGAAATAGACAGAGATGTCTCAATTTCCTCTCTCGTCTTCTGTTGTCTTTAAGCTCAGCCTTAACATTATAAACTACTATCTATACTCTGTTCCTATCTATTCATTGCCAGGAGCAATGAAATAGACAGAGACGTCTTTATTTCCTCTCTCGTTTTCTGTTATCTTCACGCTCAGCCTTAAATTAAGTAAAACCGGTCATATTCCTGCTGTGAGGTAAAAAATTAATAACGTTATAAAAAAATCGAGTTTTGTAGACCGGACACATTCTATAAGTTAACAGCTGATTTTTATTAGACAAAAAGCAAACTAAAGGCATTTGATAATATCTTAGTGTGTGAGCGACTTACTCACGAAATAATATTTTTTGGATAATGTATAAGTATCTATGACTGATAAAAAAAAAACTTGGCTAAAAAGATAAACTCCAAATATTTTTTTCGAATTAGATACTAATGTATCGCAAATATATTATAATTATCATCCATTGTCTCATAATCACTTGATAACGAGGAGTTGATGGATTACATTGCGATTGAAAGAATTATGGGTATGCTATCGGTAGTTTATGTAACAATTTTATAGAAAGTCTATTGTTTTAGAATATTAAGCACACATTTACCTAAGCATTATATATATCTACGCTGGAAAGCAAACACGTAGTAACCCGCAAAACCCAAATTGTTCTTCAGAGCAGAAAATGTTTGATTTTTTTCGATAAATAATTCCTTTAAACGTCCATGGTAACAAATAATTTTCCATTCTAAATATCCATTTTGGTTTTGCAGGTTATTACGTGTTGCTTTCCAGTGTCTCTATATAGATAGTTGCTAATAGCAGTTGCTTACAACCCAATATGTAGGTATGAGGTTGATATGTTCTATGACAGGAAACTGTGCTGTATATCTATACTATACTTATATTAAACAGAGGTAAAGTTTCTAATTATGGGCATTTGTAGGAAGTATTATTCGAAAATACTGATCTGAAAAGGAAAATTCTATCATCTATACAAAGTAAAAAAGAAAGTCGCTTCCCGATTTGTGCACGCTGAGATCTTTGAAACTACACAATTGATTTTAATTCAGATCTCATTAATGTATGCAGAGTGATTCAAGATGAAGGTTTATATTTATACTATAGGATCACGCTAGTCATATCATAAAGCAGAGGAGGACATGCAACACTTACAATGTTATGTTATTTTACGTTGGAGTAGATTTACACCGAGACTGCACTTGGTATTAGGCAAAATTGATATTATTAAGCAGAGACTTAGCAAAGATTAACATAGTACTAGAATCTACGGGAGTATAATTTACTTCTAGAAGGTAATATCAGGTTAACTTATTCTCTGTATAATATGCATTTGTACCAAAAACTAATATACCAATTTTAACGTAAATTTACTCTGACGTTTTATGTTTATTAATAGCACTGTAAGTTTATAAAACGAAAATACAATTTGTCTTTTACAAATACTTTTTTCTCAATAACGACCAAAATGAGCACAGGAAACATCTATTAATTAATATAAATAAAAAAAAACTCTGCAAGGGTCCAATGGACACTAGTTATTTTTTTTATTTTACACCTTAGGGGCCGTCCATAAATTACGTCACACAAAATTCATGATTTTAACCCCTCCCCCCCCCCTCATGTCACATGTTTGTCTATACAAATTCTTCTAAATATTGTTCTAATGTCACAGTTCGTCAACCCCCCCCCCCCACCCCCCTACTAACGTTTGAAGTAATTTATGGATGGCCCCTTACCTAATATTCAATAGCAAATTGACTAGTATTACTTATGTTTACATGAACTTTATATAATAATGACTAATAAAATTACGACTATATACAATACAATTTTAGGTATATGATATGTATATGAATGGCATTTCATTAGGAAAGTTAGATAGACTACATTACATCCTAAATATGCTCGAGCTTGGTCGCGCTGTGAAAAAATAAAATTCCGCTTTGACCATTGCTTCAGATTGTGAGTCACTTTTTGTGTTAAAACAATGTACTGAAATACTACTCATTTCAAAGCATAATACACAACAATATCACCTTTTGTTTCGTTACGGTTGATTTTAAACAGCAACATTGTCATATGATGCCGGTTTTATTTTCACGCGCCTTACTCGTTTTTAAACACCGCTTAAAAGAGTTATATTTGACTATCAAACGATTTAAAATTCGAACAATGACAATTCTTCCGATTGTCAGATCATATAATTAAAATTAAAAAAAAAAACAAATCAAATTATTAGAAGTAACTCAACAGAACTAAAAGAATTGACAAACGTATGAAAGTCAAACGCTTAGTTTGATACCCGCTCGAGGAATTTCTTAGTCAAATCAAGTATTTGTCTGAATTTAAAGTACTTCTTTTCCATGGGCTTCAATACTTTGAGCGCTGTCTCGCTATTAATTTAAAACCGAGCTACACAAACATCCAAAAAAAATGTCATAAGTTAATGCAACATTATCAATACGAACATTTATTAGAACTTGAAGTCTTCATTAAGTCATAAAAACCCTTTATGCGGTTGAGTGAAGTGTACAAACGAAGAAAATAAAAAAAAAACAACCTAACCTAGCAACTGTACTCTTTTAAGAATTTGTATTCATAGGTGCTTTAGAAGATACTTAACGACTGAACTGTCTCAGATACCCAAAACAAATCCTTTGATTGTTTAACAATCGATCAATTTGTAGAGCAGTCGTTTGGCTAACGTTAAGTTACGGGTTCAAATCCCATCTTAGGAAACATTAAATTTTAAAGTAGTCTTTACTTTAGTCCTTCCTTTAATTTAACAAATGTGAAAATTATGTCTTATATTCATAAACCTAATTAACATTAATGTGAAAAATAACGTAGATTGAAATTTCTTGAATGATAACATTAATTACCTACATCGTTATTGTAATTATTCTGTTACTATTTATTAATCAATATTTAGACTCATTAAGTACCTGTTTATAAATAAATGATTTCAACTTCATATATCGTCATAATTTATTGGTGCTGATTCTATTGTAGCTAAATTAAAAATATGTTTTTGACATTCGTTAGAGCTTAAAGGCGTTATTAAACCTTAATGGAAGTTTGTGCAACTGACCGTAAGTCTGGTTTGTGTCAGAATAGCTATAACGCTCGAAACTAAAACACATCTAAACTTAACTCAGGTTTAGATATATATTTTATTAATAACTCGCAATTTTTACTATTTTAAAACAAATAATTAAATACAGTATATTAAAATTAAAAAACAAAGTGTTTCCACGGCGCTACTTTTTTAAAGTGTTTTCCAATTAATATTAAGTAACTCTCATAAAGTTTCGTGTTCAGTGGTCAGAAATTTATTATACGTTGTACCAACCTGATTATTATTTTAATTTTATCTTAACTTTTTATCCATAATATACTATAAAATTGATTGATTGTTATACCTACCTATGTATTTCAAACATTCTTAAAATATTAAACCTTAATAGAAAATAAAATGTATTACTTACCAATTAAAGTGTTAACCAGTATATAAATCATAAACAAAACTTTCGCGCGTAACTTTCTTAAGCCTACGATTAAGGCAACAGAATTAAAAACACGTGCAGCCAGCTCGCGTGCTTACTGCTTTATGATTACTGACACAGAGTGGAAACGGCGGAAACGCCAGGTGGGGTGCTAACAATTGAACTCGCGGACTTGATAATACCACACCGTGGGAGATAGTGTCGCCGACGTAAGTGCGCTTAATCTGAGCTCTGTTCATGCCCAGTACATCGCGTTACCAAGGCATAACAAAACAATCCTTTACTCAAAGCCCTGTCCTATCGAATTTCATCCAAATACTAGCTGTTTTTCCGCGACCTCGCCTGCTTTAACTTAAGCCTATGTGAAAAAGGAGGAGGTGAAAGAATTTTCGTGATCGGATCAGATCAGATATTTTTTTTCTATTTGTAAATTGTCTCTCATGAAATATTTTTATTGTTAATTCATTGCCTTAATGAACTGTAATGTAATGTATGAAATTGGTGCGATTGTTACATAACTGTGTCCGGCCCACTGACATTCAAATTACAAGTTAACCTAGCTTAGAAAGCACAGACGATATTTAATCCTTTTATCATCCTCTGGAGTTGGATAAAAACCTTTTCTTATCATAATATTGTGAGTTATCCCTAAAACTATAGAATAGCCTTTGCCGCCGCACCTTCGTACTGCACTCCTACAATTATTTCACTATACTTAATCATGTGATTGTTTTCGTTGCTTGGCTACCCTAATTTCTTTAATTTGTTGTATAACCTAAAAATGAATATGCATCACAAGAACAATGGGACATCAGCGCCTCTTACCGAGACTAATATAACTATTTTACGATATGATCACTAATGCTTTGCCACATCATGAAGCATTCATTCGATCAGCCGCCCATATCGTTAAACGCAAATTATCCATTGATCTGGCCAGGCCACATCATGACGTGGACAGTAAGATTTTCCATTTCATGAAATACCTACTTAATTCTTGGATCTGGCCATGACAAATATAACATTATATCAAATGGTATTGCAATCATACTCGACTAACAAAGTAGTTACATTTGATATAATTGCACTAGGATTGTAATGATGCGTATCTAGAATTACGTGCTGCCTTTACATTTTGATACCTACTCATCGCAGATAATCTGCCTGAACAAATGTATCTTTTTAATGCTCTTTGATATGGCACACAAAACCATATGACAGCAAAAGTGAAAATATGACAGCATTCAAAACGTTAGGTTCAGTTCTCAAGGGTAAAAAACGGGTCCCTAATTCAGACAGTCGTCGAGTTGAAGTAATTACTTGAGTAATGTCATAACTTATATTATTCTAATAATAAAATAAAATTATGACTTTTGAGACTTTTGTGAATTAGAACGAAGTAACGTTCAAATTCTTGTTTATGTGTTATAAATATTTGCCATTCTACTCAACTTCTCTCGATTAGTACTAGTGTAAGACTTCACTGTCCGTCTGTCACCAGGCTGTACCTCATAAACCCTGATAATTAAATAAAATTTCCACAGATAATATATTTCTGTTTCCGTAATAACAACAAAAAGATACTAAAAACAGAATAATAAAAAAAATTAAGGGGCTCCTATACAACAAAAGTGTTTTTTTGCGCGACCCATCGTGCGCGAGTCCGACCCACACTTGGCCAGTTTATGTTATTTAGCATTAGTTGATCTACCGCGTAGTGATTGAACTTGAACTACTTTCATTACTCTTTTTTAAAAGCGCATATTTGCCCACTGTTGGGCAAACGCCTCTCAAATCTCTATCTTCGGTACGATTGTCCATTCCCCCCACTCAAAGCCAATCCATGTCAATTTAATGATAGGATATGCATATTCTCCTTGCATGTAGAGTTACCATATCTCAGGAAATCTCAGAATCTTTCGATTTTATAATAAAATTTGTATAGAACAATTTAAAAGTTCTCTTTGATGTAGACAATTCATATATACAAATTATATTATACAAACTAAAAAAAACTTCCTAACTTTGTGATATGCAACGAGGGAGCGTGATACCCGAAATTCGCAGTGTATAAAAACTGAAATAATATGACTTTTTTTAAATTGCTAAGTGATGTACTTCGCAGTGTATAAAAAAGTCAAAGATAGAAAAATCTCAAACTGCAACCAAATCTCAGGATTTTCAAATGAAAATCAGACTTTTTCTCCAGACTTATAATTTTTTCATCTGGTAACCCTACTTAGATGTGCATTTCTGGATACCCCGCTTCCCCAACTCAAGTCAGCAAGGTTATGTAGGGGTCTCCCTTGTGGTTCCACCCCTAGTAGGGGGAGCTAATCAAAATGCAGGAGCATACACAATAAAATCATTGATATCTCTCTCTAATTTCTTCGCGTTAATTCGCGTCTTCTCGCGTGTATAATGTCAACCTAATCGAATCCAATGTAGTAACGTGGTGTGTATACAGTGCCATTCTTTTATAAAAACTGTCAAACACTCGACGACGATCTTAACGCTTTCATTCAATATATTAGAGGTTTTAATAAATTAAAACTTTATGCTAATATAGCACTCCACTCAAACTTAACAGAGCTCAACATCTGTCAACGACTTCATTGAATGCTTATTGAATGTAATGTTTTGAACGTTCAAATAAAAATTGTGTGCTAGGTATTGAATTATTTTATTAAATGGCTTCAGTCATAAGAATTGTCGTCATTAAGTTCATATCTTTGGCGGAATAGTGCGAGAAGCGCAGCTAAGCCATTGAGAAAGAAAAAAAAAGATTTATATAAAGTTCCTATATATACTTTACTCCTTGATATCAAGGAAGTTACACGTAGACCTCCATTGTCTATTTACGTCCACTAAAACAGATTAGTGCCACTAAATTATTTACACTATATTTTTTAGATAACAACAGTACGCGTGGCGCATATTGCTTGAGAAGTTTAAATGATTAATGCCAAGGTTAAAGATTTCGTGGATTTTCTTTTATTGTTTTTGGTATTTTAGAAGAAAACAAAATTCGTGCCATCGAGGATCAAGGTTGCAAATGAACACCTAGTTAAGAGTGCTAAATACCATTCGTCCTTCGCTTTTGCCCTCGCTCTAATTTTGTTAATATCATCAGGGCAATAAAAACAATTTCCTAAGGGTAGCATTGTAACATGTAACCCAATTTCTATGTATATTATACAAAAGCTGTTGATTGAATGAAATTTATTTTACCTTGAGTTTGGCACTAGTTGCTATAGCAACTGACATGAAGCATGTCGTCGTTGCGTTCGTGTCACTATTCTATTTTTAAAATCACGCCATTTCATCTATCAATCTTTTGACCTACTGACAGAGTGTTAACCCAAAATTAAGGGTTAATTGCTACGAAGACGTTCCTCTTTATTGCAGTTTTAAATACACTTGTGTTGCCAAAGGAAATTCAAAACTCTTTCTAACTCAAACAACGCATAATTTCCAGATACTAACTGCAATCTGATTTTAACAAAAACCTAAAGTGAGAATCGAAATAGCGCACCAAACTATTGCACTAAGCAATTGCTTCAAAATTAATATGTGTATGAAACACATATTAATTTAAACTAAAGACAAAAGAAAAAACGAAACGAAATCAATGAAATAAGGACAGACATTTTTTAATTAACCATTACAATTACCTATTGTAACAATTATACGTAAAGCCCTCTGCTCTTTCCTTATAATATAGAGTTACGAGAAGAAATTGGAGATGAATTGAAAAAAAATGGTGCAATTTAGGAACTTTGTATTTTTTTCTAAAGATAAATTATTATAGATTTATATTTTTGCCGTTTCAGTGGCCTTAAATTTAAATGAGGTTTCTCATCTTTAATTATAATTTCATTTGGACGTTATTTTTGTACAACAATGAAAGTTAATTATTTTTGTTTATTATACTCCCTCCTAAGAAACCATAGATTGCATTAAAATAACCTATAGGTGTGAAGATTCTTAATATTCTTAAAAACATTATGTATCTTAATTTTGTGAGAGACTGGAGCCCGAAATTGGTTTCAGTAGAAACCTGTGTGACATTATAGGTTTGTAGGTTATTTTTATATAGAGACTACTATTATCGACAGTTTAACGCCTGTACTGTAATTACACTTTGATAATCACACAACATATTAAGACAGCAGCAGCGAAAGCAATGACAGTAGGCCTATATAATAAAGAGCATCATATATAGAGTTACAAAACTCATAAAAAATAAATTAAAAAAAATATATAAAAACCATTTATCCAAAGAGACCGGCAAAGCTGTCGTCAACAACTATAGATGCCTTATACTTACACGAAAAATCTAATAATTCGGTATCTAATCGTGTCATTTTTTTTAATTATAATCAAGTTATATAAATAATTCAATAATAAAAATGTTTTGATATATATACACGTAAACTCAATATACGTCAGGAAAACTCTATCAATAATTATTATAGATCAGATTATGCATATCTATCATCCTCTTGTCCTCGTATTAGTGTGGCTTAAAATTATAAAACTGATTTAGGTACACTTTACCTACGACAATAAAAAGTACCTACATGTTTCCAATCGTCCTTTTTGCGCAGGACATGTCTCGGTATCTATAATGTCGTGTGATGTTTTGGTTAGTTTTTAGGGATTTTTTATACCCTGTCTATTTATTGTATTTAAAATTCACGCAGCATTTCTGAAATTATTAAGTTAAGTACAACACACGAGTGTTTGAATTGCGCGGAAGGATCAGGCTTGTTTGTTTGTTAAGACAAAATTAATTACTTTTTCATTTAACTAAAGTATTACAGTATGCCTTGCTTTCAACAGAATTAACCTAGCTTTCAAAAATCAAAATCAAAATTATTTATTCAGTCTAGGCTGTTATAAGCACTTGTGAAAGTCGAGATCTACGCCATCGGTTCGTAAATCTACGGCGGGAGACCTTGTACCGAGAAGAACCGCCAAGAAACTCTGCAAGGGCTGCTTTTTTCACAATTGTTTTTCCTACATTTTGTTGTTAGTGTGACAGTTGCATCTGAAACATGCTTCGATCAACAATACAACTAGATGTCTGGTCAGTGTTTTAAAATCGCCTCATTTCAATCAACTTTATAATTTGGGCGACT